GTCTTAGCATGTTCCCTATTTTCAAGACTAGATGCTGGTGTGCAGGGCAGCCTGTCGTGACCAGCTCTGACTTTCCCTGGGCTCCCAGGTTCTGCTGCCTAAGGTCCCAATGCCCCTTGACGTTGCCCACATGGCTCCCCTGAAGGCTAAGGAGTCCTCTAAAATAAAATTTAAAAACAACAGAACACAGCTGTGTGCACACACACGCATGCACAGCAGTCCCTGGAATTTGTAGGCTGTCTGTCTCATGCACCAGCAACAGGAAGCAGCCCCAGAAGTTGGAAGTAGGGTCCCCTGCTGAGACGGAAGCTGGAGAGAATCAGCACCCCATACATAAAAAAGCCCCCAGGGGGAACCTATCCCCAGGGGGAAGCCCAAGGTTCACAAAGTTGCTCTGAGAGACGTGAGTTAAGTCAGAGAACCAGCTCAGGCAGAGGGAGCGCGGACCAGGGTGGCTGCTGAGAACATGGACGGGGACATAGGAGGCTGGAGGCTGCAGAAATGCTCCAGGGCGCGATGGCAACAGCACGCCTCTCTGGGCACGCCTGTCAGGACACCCCGCCCCCAGGTCTCAGCCCCCACATCCAGGAGCGTAGGGAGATACCTCAGGACTAATTTACAAGGTGCTTTACTCCTTTTCTTTTCCCGCTTTATTGAGATATAACTGACATATAACATTGTGTAAGTTAAGGTGTACAGCGTGTTGGCTTCCAAAAATCTGATAATGAAAGACAGCCTAGTTAGGGGATAAAATTAGTCTTCATAAAGCTAATGTTTTATCTTTCACAATAAATTAATAAATTGGACATTTGGATTGGACATGAATTGTCGCAAGTATGGTGCCTGGGAGTCTGTTCCGGGTCTGTGGACAGACTTGAGCCCCTGGTGCGCGAAGCTGGGTGCCAGCAGGGCGTGAGCCCCGTGGACGCCTCTGGCCAGCGGCCCCTTCAGTCTGCCCTCAACGTGCCAGAGTCCACACCCCACCTCGGTGTGGGAAGAGCCATCGCCAGGGAAGCAAGCCCCTCACGGGTTCTGGTCCTGGGAGCAATGGCCTCCCCCTCCCCAGTCTCCCTCAAGCCCCTTCGCCTCCGCACCAAAGCCCCGCTCTGGGCGCCACGACTGTCGCCTGGATGGCCGTGATTGCTGCCTCCCGACAGGCCCCCAGCGTGGGCCCCCTTCCCCCGCACCATCACGGTGCCTGCTTGCCCAGCACGTTTGGCAAGCCCCACTCCGTGCCTGCAAAACGGCGTCCACGCGCTTGCAAGCCTCCACGCCTGGGGACCAGACCGCGGGAAGCTGCAGGGCACCCGCCCTCTGAGCTTGGTCAGCTCCAGGGCTGGCGTGAGAAGGAAACCAGTTACTGTGCCAAGCAGAGAGCGAAAGCCTGGGCCTTTGCCTGTTTCTGCAGCTTTGTCTGCACCTCTCATCAGCGCCCACCCCTGTGCCTACTCTGGTCACCCAGAGAGACTGTGGCCTCTCCTGCGCGCATGCCAGGCCCCTGCCTGGACTCCCCCGCACCCACTGTGCCAGCCAACTCCAGCACTCATGCTTCAGGCCCCGATAAGGTACCACCTCCTCTGAGATGCCGTCCTGGGACACGACCTCCCTCACCCAAACTGGAATGGCCTCTCTGTGCCTTCCCCACACACAGCACCAGGGGCACCTATACCAGTGCTTATGGCCGGCTCTGTAACCACCAGTTTTCCTAACTGCCAACCCCACCAAGCTAGTCTTTCTGAGAATCAGGGGTGGGTCTGTGCACCCTGCCTGAGTCCCAGAGTGCCAGCTGGGATGAATAAGCATTTCTCAAGCAAACTGGCAAATGACTGAATGAAGAGAGGCAGTGCAGGTCTCTTCCACCATGGGCCACGATCCTGAGACCCAGGCTGGACAGACCTGTGTTCAAAGAACATCACAGAAAAGACAGCCTAAAGAAACTGCCAGGGCCACGACCCTTCCTCTAACAAGGCAAGGCCCTTGGGGCAGGGGGGTTCACCGTCCCCACGTCCATGTGACCTGAACACCTGCTCTGGTCTCGGAGAAGGGGCCTCTGCCTCTAACATCTAAGCACGGTTAATACCATCTAACGGAAACGTCCGTGTGCATTTGGCCACCACCCACCATGGCCCCAAACAAAACCCCCAGAGAGACTGGGGGGAGCGGGCAGAGGCTTTGGCTCGGACAGCCGTGCACACGGCAGCGGTGCTGGCTTTGGCTTGGACAGCCGTGCACACGGCAGCGGTGCTGGCTCTCCCAGGGGCCCTGGCGTTAGAGCCTCACAAACCTCTAAGTGCAAAGCCCAGGGCACTCTGCCCCTCCCTCTCACATCGCACACTGATTTGAGATCAAAACCTGGGTTCAGGCGAAGTAGCACTAACGTTTTTAGTTTTCGGTGTGTTTCTTGGCCTCTCTGAGCCTCAAGTGAATGAAATAATACCTTCTCTGTGGGTTTATACGGCTTCAAGGTGATAGTTCGTGACCCGCAGAGCACCGATTACTGGGTGATTGTCGTGGGTGCCACGAGGGGTAGGGGAGCCCACAGGGTTGGGGCCGTCGCCAGAAACCCTGCTTCCCTCATGCTGTTTCCTCACGCCCCCCGGCACGCCCTCACAGGTGGGCAGTGGAGACACCTCGGGGCCTCGAGGCCTGGCACCTCCACCTGGATCACCTGTTCTTCACCCAGGTAGGCCTATTAAGTCAGAATAAGCATTGTGGTGCCCGTCACCCCACACCCATCAGGGGCCGTTCTGGCACAAAGTGTCCTGCCCCGAGCCCTTGCCAGGAGCGCCCAGGCGCTGCAGACGCAGCACACAGGTCAAGCCTCCTTCAGCCACTGAGCCCACGCGCCTCAGCTCCCGTGGTCCCGCCAGACCTCTCCTTTAAGTAAACCGTTACACTTCCTTCTTCCCCCACTGGAGTGAGTTAGACGAGAGAACGCTGGGAAATCAACTTAAACTGCTCTTCACACCAGCTACTGTCCTTCACATTGAAGCTGAGACTGGAGTTGGGAGATGGCCCTGCGCACCCTCCGGACTTCCCTCTGCTCAAGCGGGGGACTCGCTTTCTCTCCCAGGGAAAGTAGTTCACGTCTCCTGCCGTCACTACCCTCCTTCTGGAGGATGGCAGTGGCCTTAAAATAAAGCAGCATCACTGCCAGGGGCAGCCTCCGAATGTGCCTCGTGGCGCCCGTGGAAGAGCAAGTGGGATCCACACCCCAGCTAAGGGCAGGCGCAGCGCGTGCAGCTGCCCTTCACCTCAGATGCATGCACGTGTGGTGGAGGCGAGACCCCAGGACGAAACAGCCCAGGAGACAGTCCCCAGGGGCAGGTGTGCCCAGCAGGGCCCTCAGGAGTGGCAACCGCGATCACCACATGGTCACCGGGTGGGGCAGCAGGGCCCTGAGATGGCCTGGGGGCAGCAGGGCTACGGGCGGGCGAAGAAGGAGCCACAGCAGGGGAATTAGGTAAAAATCCTTCCCTTGTCAAAGAGGACGCGTAGTTCCCAACGTGATACACAATTGCATATGTTTAAAATGAAAACAGGTGAGTTCACACATTACTTCTGGACACTGAAAAATGAACTCTGGCTGCTTTTCTTCCGGGCAGCACCTAAACTCTGGCTTTGCAATATTTCAGGTACATTACAGTCTTCTGAGAGAGGCCCAGTACTTCAGAATCCCTGGGGTGGCTGTGGAGAAAGAATGTTACTGGCAACCGATATTAGGACAACATTTCAGGTTACAGGAACAGATCTAGGCGTTCACATTGTACCCGCATTTAAGCCTTCAAGCTGACTCCTAAATACTTCTGTTAACATATTTACATTTGTTTTTGGTTTAAGGAAAACATTACTTTAGAGCAAACTGCCGTGGCTGTAGGTGAGGAGCTCCGCGGCTGCGCTTTCCTTTCCTGCTGCACATCTGCGGCCCGCACGAGTGTGGAGCCTGGCCCCCGGCTTGGCCTGACTTCGGCTTTACCCACCACAAAGCACCCCCAAAGCCCGCATCAGAAGCTTCGAGTGGCCCAATGATACGATCCTTTTCCCGTTGGCTTCAAAAGCCATCGTGACCAAACGCTTTCACCCATGAGGCAGAGTTGATTGGAATAATGAAAAACACTTTTTCAAAAACCATTTCATGAGGTAGCTGAGATCAAATCCCAAATCCACAGCAGACACAAAGGCGCTTAATAAGTGCTCAGGCATTTTAAATGTATTTTTAAGCGCAAACCGTGACAGCGCCTGACGACTGCTCTTTCTTCCCGAAT